AAAATAATCAGATTTTGAGACCACGCTAGATAATTCTGACCATTGAATAGAGAAGTGGTGATTTTAAGATCAGGGTTGAGATTATCAGTCATAGTAGAAGGTATAATGGAACTCTCGCTCTTAAGCGGTTGAGAAGTTGTTGACTCACTAGTGAAATTTGTCATGAATATTCTACTAAGTACCCCTCAAACTTAGGACCAATCACAAACTCGGAAGATGGTGAAGGAACAAACACAATAGTAATTAGAAAATCATAAATAACTAAAAAATCTTAAAATTAAGAAGTCAATTTTTTTCCCCCTTAGTCGAAGAAAACAGGGACAAACAGAAACGAAAGAGAGAAGAAAGAGAGCAGAAAAAAAAAATAAAAACGACGACCAACCAAAGTATACCCGATGACCAACCAAAGTACACCGAAAGCACAAGTCGACTAACCAGGTGATCATGACGACACCAGGCAACCAACCAGGTGCTGTCGACAGGCCTAGAGGAGCAGGCTAGGGCTGCCGACAAAGGCTGAGACTGCCATGGGAGAGTCGTTTGACCTTCGGTTGCGCTGGGTGGGGTGCGACTGTCCCAAACAAGGTGGTGGATGGCCTGCGCAGGCTAGGGTTTGGATGTGAGGCCTGGGCAGCGAGGGTTTGGGTGTGGGTGGCCTTTGGTGGAAGCAAGGTGGTATGCTCCTTCTATTGTGGCTCTGATACCATGAAAATTTAGAGAAAAAGAGTTAGGGAATGAGTTACACTTCATTTCCTTTTATATTGATAATTGAGCAATCACAGGTAACTAAAAAGGAATAAGAATACACTCCATTATTTCCTATTCTAACAATTTCCTATTCTAACAATGCCATGCAATGTATTTTTGTTGTAGTAGAGTTTCACCTAATATCAAGCTCTTACATCCATCCATCTACTTTCCCAAGTTAAGCTAATCACAAATTTGGTTTGCAGCTGTGATATTGTTTCATTTGTAGCTCATGCTTAGAAATAGACATGAGCAGAGGAATGAAGCCTTTTTCAGTCTGTAGATTGGATTACACATTGGTTATGTTGATGATCATTCTTCTAAGGTATTAAGGGGTAATGTCAACTAATTTGGATCTGGTATTCCTGTATGTGCTTATAGAGAAGGCTCCAGAGTTACATGGGGGTATATCAACCAGATTTTGGGACAACCATCACTGGTTTGAGAATCATCCATTACAAAATTTCCATGGTCAGGAATAGGTTCTCGAGGAGCAAACAAGGTGTTCAATTTTGGTACAGCAGCAGGGGCAGTGCCTGCAGAGAGTAAAACAAAATTTGGAAATATTGTTCTCCGTTCTTCATTGCAGAGAAAAATAGGGCAACTTGCTTGAGCCACAGAAAACACAAAGTCTCACGAGGCACCCTTTCGTTATGTGCTCTTTTATGGTCCTCCTGGCACTGGTAAAACCATGGTTGCAAGGGAGATAACTCAAAAATAGGTATCGTTTCAATACTATCTATTTATAAGTATAGCTAAAATTTGTTAGCTATGTTTTAGAAAGAAATTGTGATGGTCAATGTACCGGATTTTGTTGCTTTGATTCAATTAACTTGATGAGGGGGGAACCCTTTCCTTGGGATTGGGATTTTCACTCCCCGAGCTGCTGTTTAATTTCATTTAATTTTTTTTCTGAGGTAGACTTATAAGTCACATAACAGTTCTCTGTCATCGGAGAGAATTGAGTTGCTTCCTCCTAACTGGCTTTGTGTTTGGACGTTGTTTTTGTAGGGTTTGGATTATGCCATGATTACAGGAGGTAATGCTGCACCACTGGGTTCGCAGGCTGTTACCAAAATTCATGAGATATTTGATCGGGCCAAAAAATCAAAGAAAGGTTTACTGCTTTTTATTGATGAGGCTGATGCTTTTTTCTGCCAGTAAGTTACCATCGTCCTCACATCTGTATCAAGTTTCAATCATTTGTACTTTAAGCTAGCTGTTTGTTGATGAATTTCCAGTTGCCTATAATAGTACATTGGTATTAAATTTGTGGGATTCCAACTAAGATTATCAATGGTGAGATTATTGTGTACTCACCATATAATTGGGATTAATATGCAAAAGTATTGGAGTTTTGTTTTTTGGGTATCAGAGTTTAGTCTTTTAGACCTATGTGATAATTTTTTTTTGAATCAGTGGGTGCTAGTTCCCGCCAACGTGGGATCCTGGAAGGGCCACACTATGAAGGAAAGTTGTGCCTACAACAATTTTCCTCGAGTTGCTTTATGCTATGTTTGGAGCTAGAGTTTGATGTGGGGAAGGAAAAAGGAAAGGCTATGGATTTACTGTTATTCATTTTTTTATAGGTAACCAAACAAAAAAATAGATTTTTTGAGAAATGTTAATTGTGTTTTTTTTTCCCCTTCCCATCCCAAACAAACAAAAGCAATAAATTTCGGGACTGTTTGGATCATCTGAAAAATTGATCAGGTTAGTCCACTTCCATTATCTGGTTTTTTTGGAAACCCACTTTCTAACCAGGTTTGGACACTTCCTCAAACAAATGTGGGCTGTGTGCTTTTGAAGTATTTACCCAAAAGCCAGTTAAGTTGTGGCCCCTAGAACCGGTTTTGGCTTTTCCTAAATAGGCTCTTAGCTTATCTTATTTCATTTTTCTTTTCCTTTCCCTCAACAAACTCAAGTTCAAACATAGCATCGCAAATTTGCAATTCAACCTCCGGCAGAGTTTTTGGAAAAGTGGCCACTCTCAGTTTTAAATTTAGGGATGTTCTCCAATGCCTTTGTGTCAGGTGGCTTGTACTACTATTGTTTTGTAATGGTTCATATATTATATATGCCTGAAGGATTTAGCATCAATGTGTGACAGTTCTACTGAAATTACCTATGTGAGGTTTAAATTGTACTTTGCTCCAACCTTTCATGATTGAAGTTGGCATTAAATGCAGGGTTGCTTCTATTGGCACACCACAAAAATTTTCAGTTCACACCATTTTGCTGTCCTGATATCTACTTTTGAATAAAAATCAATTGTTTGGATAACAATTTCTGAACAAAAACTGTGATCAGTAGTTGATATATGAACATTTGATTTTTGTCAAAAATTGATATCTGAATAATACAAATGGTGTGAATTGAAACAAAATGTGGTGTGCAAATACAAGCTTCTTAGATATAGTTACCAAAGAGTGGTTTTTATTTATTTATTTATTTTATACCGTTCTCGCAACCAAGTTGACAATTGTAGAACTGACTGAACGCAGGCGTAACAGCACACACGAGTGAAGCTCAGCCAAGTGCTCTAAACTCATTGCTTTTTTGAACAGGAGACCAGTCAAGAGATGTAGCTTTGTGCTTGCCACAAACAGACCGGGTGATCTTGACAGTGCTATCGCTGATCGCATTGATGAAGTAATCAAGTTCCCACTTCCTCAGGCAGAGGAGCGTTTCAAACTGTTGAAGCTCTATTTAAATAAATATATATCAGGTGACAGTGACAGTGACTCTAAATGGGGCTCTTTGTTTAAGAGAAGCTCACAAACAATAACCATAAAAGATTTGTCAGAAGATGCGATCAGAGAAGCTGCCCGGAAGACAGAAGGTTTCTCAGGCTGAGAGATAGCAAAACTAATGGCAAGTGTTCAAGCAGCTGTGTATGGGCGACCGGACTACTCACAGCTATTCAAGGAGGTTGTTGATTACAAGGTTGCAGAGCATTGGCAGCAAATAAAATTGGCATCTGAAAATGGCCAGCCTGCTTAACGGGGTGTACATAAGTTGGCCTCTCTTGGCTCTCAATTTTGTTGTCTACATTTTCTTTATTTTTTGTTATTTATATTTAAATTTCATATATACAAAATTCTTTTAATTTGTATTTATGATGATTAAGGAAGCCTCTCTTGGAACTGTGAGTTGAAAGCTTTATCATGAGGGCCTGGATTGCTGATAAGGCAGCAGATAATCTAAACTAAGAATTGATGATGCTCTTGCTTGGGAGCTTCTAAGTAATAACTACTTAATAATTACAAATTTCTCTTTCTACTTGTGGTGCTCCACGCGACTTATGATTGGTGGAAAAAAATGAGATTCACAATTTTATATTGAAGGATAGAAAATAATAGGGACATAATATATTGCGTCACGTGTGCCCCATTGCCATCGAAAAGGATAGAAAATAATAGGGACATAATATATTGCGTCACGTGTGCCCCATTGCCATCGAATATATATATATATATATTTACATTGTTGATGTAAATTTTTTTCTTGTTTCAAAAAATTCAACTCTCTCTTCTTTTTTTCATTAAGTTTAGGTACCCAAAAAAAAATATATCTAGAATTTTATCTAGAACAACAGTGTGTGGTTTATCCGAATTTAGATTATAAATTGCTTTTCTCAGTAAATTTCTAAAAAAACAATTTCTAAGTACCTTGACTCTTTTTTTTTTTAAAAAAAAAGAAGCATATTATAAAATTACTCCTAAAAAAATTATAGTAATGCTAGAGTGATCTCATTTGTGTACCATATTTAGACATTTGATGTGTTGTTTCACGTTATACTAAGCGCATCATTTAAATGGATTTACATCTTATTTTAAAATCACTTGATAACATCACATCAAATATTATTCAAATATATTTGAAATGTAATTATCACAACACTACTCTAACAATAAAAACTTTTAAAAAATAATTATATCTTTCTATAAAAACTTTTAAAAAATAATTATAAACTACAAAGTTACACTACAAGGATTTACACATTTGGCGACCACTTTTGCCGACTAAAAAAATTTTGGTCGCAAAAAAATGGCATTTGGCGACCAAATATTAATTAGTCGCGAATGATCATTATTTTTGGCGACCAAATATTATTGGTCGCAAAAGAATATATTTTGGCGACCAAAAAATAAGTTGGTCGCAGAAAGTGGTATGCTTTTGCCGACCAACTATAAATTTGGTCGCGAAAGGTCACATTTTTTTTGGCGACCAAAATTTTGGTCGCTAAAAACTTATTTTCAGCAACCAAAAAAAATTAGTCGCCAAATTAGCACTTTTAGCGACTAATATTTTAGTCGCCGTTGATTGAGATTTGGCAACTAAAAAAATTTGTCGGCAAAGGGTACATTTTCTGCGACTAATCTGATATTTTAGTCGCCAAAAATTTGGGAGGGAATTTTGAAACGTGGGGCGGGTATTTTGGTCACACTTTCTCATTTTCTCCTCTTTCATCTCTCTTTGAAATAGGTGCGAGACAAGCGAACAAACAACACCGAACCACTCTCTCTCTCTCGTCTTTGCGTTCGATTCGAACCCTAGGCACATTGAATCAATCATTCGGAGTCTCTCTTGGATCTACATGGTGATCACCTCCCCCTTTCTCTTCTCTCACGCCTCACGCCTCACGCCTCTGTGTCTCTTCTCTCTCACGCCTCACGCTGCCCTCCTCTCTGTTACTGGAGCATCACCGCAAGGGTTAGACGAGCACACCGTAAGGGTTAGCACTACCATCGCTTTGTCTCGGGTAGGTATGTCCTTTATTTCACCCTCTCTCTCTTTCTCTCTGTGTGTGTGGGTGTGTGTCTCTGTCTTCCTCTCTATGTCTCCTTCGATTTGGGGCTAATTATTTTCTTCATTTTGCTCACTATTTGAAGAAAATTAAAGAAAATTAAAGAAAATCAGAGAAGAACTTGAATGTATTTGCAATCTGATGCTTGAATGGATAATGATGCTTGACCGAAGCATGAACTCTTAGATATTGCATCTCGTCTGTAGCATATAGTTAGTTATATTCAGTAATGGCAATGTAGAGATTTGGAACAATACAGGCCAAACCCGCTGGTTTTCCCCTTCTGTTCCAATCCAATACCAATTTAGGTTTAAATATTTCCCCAAAATGATGCATTGGCATGGGGTGGGATTGGATGAGATAATGAAATAAGTATTGTTCTGTACCTAATATGGAGACAAACATATATAATTAATATCAGGCAAATAAATGAGGATAAAATAAACTTGCACCTGGTTATGTAAGGCTCAAACATATCCCAAGGGCTGGAGCATGAAACAATTGACTCATTCTGTTGCCGTCTCTACTCATACAACCATTTTTTCTGTTACTCTCAAGATTTCTCAGGTAAGGACTGCTGTCTTTTTTAATTTTTTAATTTTTATTATTGAATTGCCCCCCAGTGCCAAAGTTGTGTGGTATAAACTGGATTACTATGTCTGAGTTGGAATATTAATTGAGAACATATAAGTTTGATAGTAATCCAGCAAAACAGAATATTTCATTCTAGGTAATTTGTGTTAACAACATGGTTTCTTTCACATGCTCTAACCTTTAAACTGTAATTTGCGTGAGCCTGTGGAAAGCCTTCGACCAGATATGTCTTCATTCCTAAATGGTTTAATTTTAGTCTGTACTGTGATTACATAATTATTCCTTTAATTTGATTCTCATTACCTGCTTTGTCTTCTCTGTTTTTTAATCTTTGGCAGTTTATATTTGATGCTGCTGCAAAGTTCTGTGTTGATATTGCAACTCATCAGCATGGATGTTGTGTTCTGAATCGATGCATTGATAAGTCAGTTGGGAAATATCAGGAAAAGTTGGTTGCAGCAATTGCTGCTTATGGGCTTCTTCTTGCTCAAGATGCTTTTGGGTAATTTTTTTTGAAAAGTTTGGATGATATCTTTGATTGAATATTTTTTATGTACTATGTATGCATGCTTATGGCTGTATTTTGATAGAATGATCCACATAGAAATATATCCAACAAATGAGTATTTTTGCTCACTAAAAAGTAATCATTTTCATGCTGTGATACGGTTTGTTTGCATTCTTGTTAGGAATTATTGATTTCTCTGTAATTCTATTATTTGTTACTCAAAATCTTGCTTTTGAATATCACTGCATTTAGTAATATGGTAACGGAAAAAAAAAAAAAAAAAAAACAAAGCACTGCCTTAACATCTTTGTCTCCTTCAAGTTGATCATTAATGTGAGAGGTTCCTTCTGGTTAGAGAATCATGCTAAAGTGGCTCTCCCATCAATAGCTTGCTCAACCTACCAATCACTAGATACATAAATTGTTGACTGTTGTGTTTTATCATCAGATGTGGAGATTATTCTTCGTAATTGTTCTTTAAACTGTAATTGCTAAACAATGCTTCATCTTGAAAACCCTGGGCAGACTTTTCGTGCTCCACTGGCCTTCTTACTTAGCATTAGCTCATTTCATTGTGACTAGTTCACCCTTTGTAGTTTGTACTTAGCTAGGCCATGATTTATGTTACATTGCTAAAAAAGTATTGAGCATTGAGATCTGACACACTAATGTAACGGATAGAGTTCGCAATTTATTGACCTGGCCTGTGGGAAGAGAGAGAGAGAAAAGTTGATAAGTGGCGAGGATGGATGGTAAGGGCCTTGTGAGCTTAGTCTTTCGGTCTCTGATGGGTTTGGTTGGGGGGAGAGAAAGTGAAGATGAGGAGGAGTGTTTGGTTCCCTTGAAACGGCTCCGGTCTCCTGTCAGCCGTTGTCGACCTTCTTCTTTGACTTGTTGAAATGGGTATGTGTAGAGGTCCAGCGGGCGGCCAAGGCGAGACTGCCGCCCGCCGGTGAAGCAGAATTACTAGGTTGTTAACCTAGCTCTGATACCATGTTTAAATCTAATGTGTAAAGAGAGAAATACAGAGGATAATGTATCTATATTATTATTGATTGATGTATTACAAGATTGTTGTATATTGATTTTGTATATTACAAGCTATTATATAGGAGAGGTGTGAGGTAAGTGAGTGGTGGTAGTGGATGGTAGTGGAGGTGGTGGGTGGTAGTGGAGATGGTAAGTGTGTTAGGTTTAGTGGGGTGGATGTAGTGGGTTAGGTTAGTGGGTTAGGCTTAGTGTACATTAACACTAAGAATTGATGAAGCTCTTGCTTGGGAGCTTGTAAGTAATAACTACTTAATAATTACAAATTTCTCTTTCTACTTGTGGTGCTCCACGCGACTTATGATTGGTGAAAAAAATGAGATTCACAATTTTATATTGAAGGATAGAAAATAATAGGGACATAATATATTGCGTCACGTGTGCCCCATTGCCATCGAATATATATATATATATATATTTACATTGTTGATGTCAACTTTTTTCTTGTTTCAAAAAATTCAACTCTCTTCTTTTTTTCGTTAAGTCTAGGTACCCAAAAAAAAATATATCTAGAATTTTATCTAGAACAACAGTGTGTGGTTTATCTGAATTTAGATTATGAATTGCTTTTCTGAGTAAATTTCTAAAAAAAACAATTTCTAAGTACCTTGACTTTTTTTATATAAAAAAAAAAAATCATATTATAAAATTACTCCTATAAAAATTATAGTAATGCTAGAGTGATCTCATTTGTGTACCATATTTAGACATTTGATGTGTTGTTTCACATTATACAAACCACATCATTTAAATGGATTTACATCTTATTTTAAAATCACTTAATAACATCACATCAAATATTATTCAAATGTATTTGAAATGTAATTATCACAACACTACTCTAACAATAAAAACTTTTAAAAAATAATTTATACCTTTCTATAAAAACTTTTAAAAAATAAGTATAAACTAGAAAGTTAGTAAAAAGTAACATATGTGATAAGTTTTTATTTGGAGATGATGGTGGCGATGACACCGATGGTGTTGTGACTGTGGTTGTGACTGATTGTGGCGATTATATTATAGTAGTGGTAGTATTGTAAGTTTAAGAAATGTTTTCCATTCTTAAAAGTGAAAAATATATCACACAAATATTGTTTCTATTTTTAAATTGGGAAAATTACACATAATTGAGAATTTTGTAAGATATTTATAAATTAATGAGAAAAATTATAAATTTAATTATTAATATTTGTATATTTTATCATTAATTTGAAGTTTTTTTTTTTTTTTTACAAAATTATACTAGTGAGTTGTAATTCTCCCTTTTAAATTCATCTGCAGTACCACGTAGGCCAACTCTCGGATTATCTAATGGGGTAAATTACACTGGCACCCCTTCTATAATTCTGAAATAACACTGACACCCATTTTATTATCTAAAATCACACTGGCACCCCTATCAGTTCACACCATCTAATCAATGTAACCGTGTAATATCAATTAGTGTGTTGGGTTTGAGTTTTTTGAATTTTTTAAAATTAAATTTTTTTATTTTTTGAGTTTTTTTGTTTTTAATAAATATTTTTAAAATTTTAAGCATTTTTTTTAAATTTTTTTAAATGCACTTTACTTACATGTATCTAAAAAATAAAATAATTGTCAAAATATATTTCAAAAAATTAATAAATATACAAAAATAAGAAAAATATATTGAATTTTCATATTTGTTTTTGAATTTTTGGTATTTAGGGAATTTTTTAAAGATTTTTTTCACAAAAATTATACTTTTTAAGTATATTTATGTTAGGTGTGTCTAAAAATTAAAAAAAAAATTACTTAAAATATTTAAAAATTCAGTAAAAACAAAAAATACGTAAAAATAAGAAAGTAAAATTTTCTAAAAAATATTTTTAAAAAACTCAAACAAAGCAAAGTGAATAATATATCCTTGCTTGAGGTTCCAAATTTCTAGTAGTGACAAGAATACCAATGAGAGAGAGACTTCCACCATAACCACCTTCATTGACCTCCTCTCATCCACCATCCCTCTTTCATTTCCATCGCTAATATAATTTTTATTTTATTTTATATTATTTATCAAAAAAATAATAATTGGAATGAAAAACTCCATTTCCAGACCAGCAATTCCAAATGAATAAGATTAGAGTTAGTAGTGAAGGGATGAAGAAGAGAGTATTTCTGAAATAAAAAATTGTATACTGAATAAAATATTTTTTAAAAAATTCACTAAATATATAAATTGAGATATGATGTGCACAAAAATAAAAAGATACTTGAAAATCGAATTTCCCGCAACATCAGTTTAGTCAACAAATGGTTGATTAACGGAGGGAGGGAGTCATTTGTATTGTTACCTTAAAATCTAAAGCAAGAGAAGATAATGATATTTCAGATGATAGAGGGGGTGTTGGTGTAATTTACCCTATCTAATCTAATAAAATAATAACAGTAGTATTGTAGTTGTCAATTTCATAAAGAGGTGGCATTCAGCAACCGACACACGTCCAAGAAATTCCTCAGAGACTGCCACGTTGCCCCACCTCACCTCCTCAACCCCAATCCCACCCATCCCATCCCATGTGTATGTTTAAAAAGGGAAGATCATAGATACTGCAACTGCAAGAAACCGTTCCTATGCATGCCATCCAAAACAAAACTACATAATCATTCTGTTCTAGAGGGGTTGTTGAGAGATGGGGAAGAGAATGGTGGCGGTGTTGATAATGTGGGTGGTTGTTGTCACAACGGCGGCGGTGGTGGTGGAGGTGTGCTGGTGTTGGGGAGAGGAAACGAGGCAGAGGAACACTGCAGAGACAGTGATATTGACAGAAGATGCTGAGGAGGATAAGGCCAATTCTTGGGCTGATTGGGCTGTTGGAAAGTCCTCCCAGTAAGCAAGTTTACCTCCTCCTTCCATATCTGTTACTGTTTGTTTTATCTTAATTCTATCTCTTTCATATACAGCACTTCAGTTTTGATCCTTTGTCAAGCTTTTTCTTTTTAAATGCCCGTATTAATATCAACCACTGTTTTTAATATCTACACGTAACAATTGAAATTGTTTTGGGAGACGGGTGGTGAGAGGAAATCAATGCGTTTTTATTGGTTAATTTTAATTTGGGGAAGAAAAGTATAATGCGTTTTTTTTTTTTTGAATTTTAAGTAAAATGCATTTTAGTGTGGAAACTTGGAACAAGCAAACAAAATTGACTTGTAATGGACTTTTCCCATTTTGGTGCTCCAATGCACCAAATATTTTCGATAGTAGTACAATTAGAATTAAACTTGGATTGGATGTAAGGTCAGGTGTAGGGATGCCAAAATAGCTTGAACCGTCGGGTTCCGACTCTTCCGAACCCTATTGAGATGGGTCTCGGGTGATTGAATAAAGTAGGACCAGATTTGGAAAAATATTTAACAACCTGATTGGGTTCATATTGGAGGCAGGAGACAGATTTTTTACCTGTATCTTATCTTACCTGCACATATAGTAATAAATAATATGAATAAATAAATAATAATATTATATGTAATATGTGCATTATATATATATATATATATATGGTTGAGTTTGTATAGAATATATATAATATCTATACAATATATTATTAAATTTATATTATGTTATATATATGTATATATAGTTTTAATATTTGTACAATATAAATATTATTTTAATTATAATATTATTTTCTAGTTTTAATTATTGGGTTTCAATATTATTGAATTTTTTATTGTGTTGCGAATTGCGTAGGGTTGGAATGAGGGTTAGATTTGCGAGTTTGGGTAGGGTTGGGATGGGAGTTAGATTTGTAAGTTTGGGGTAGGGGCGGGAGTAGGGTTGTACAAAATACAACACAATCTGCTAAAATCGCATCGATCTACATTAATCCACACCGCTCTATCTGTTAATCGCGGTTTAAACTTTAAAATTTATAATTCTCATTCGAAACCGTTCCGTTATAGTTAATATATATATTTTTTTAACCTATGATGAAATATCAAAGTAAAAATGAGTATAAGAGAAATTTATTACAAATTAGTGGTTGTATATATGAAAAATATTGTGTAAAATTAGTTTCCGTTATATATATGAAAAATATTATGCAAATTAGTGTTATATATTATATAAATGCTATATAATTGGGTAGAATTTTTTCAATCCGCCAATCCATTCAAAACTGCTCAAAACTTAATTTGTCAATCCGCTAATCTGTCATTCGGTTTATAATTTTACTCTTAAACCGCCCAAATTACACCGCGCACACTCCTAGGCGAGAGAGAGTTTCATGAGTCGAATCGAGGTTGGGGGCAAGTGGCAAAACTAGGTGTGGCATTGGGGTAGGGAGACCTCGATGGATACCCTACATGTTACCCCATCACACTCAAAATGTATCTAAGTCTTTTATTGATTTATATAAATGCTAGTGTATGTTCGTGCCTGAAAGTACGGTTTAAATAATAGTAGGATTAGAATTAATTGTAATCCCAAAACTTTTTAAATTTATTTTTAAATTTGACAAAATCACAAATTTATTATAAAATTTAAGAGTTCTCACAAAACTCCTCACGAAAACTCATTTTTGCTTATATAATATATATCTAGATAGATAGATGTGCCTAGAAAACATACAATTTTTACGTGCATACATACAATACTGCTTTTGCTTATATAATTATATGAAAATTGTATGTATGCCCCGTAATGTCCATGTGTATGACAAATTCAAAAACCATCATGCTTTATTAAAAATATGTTGAAAATTCATATAAGGTCTAAATTTACGAAATCTATCAAGTATTCAATATATTTTAAAATAATAATTAATTGTTCAAATTTATTTAATTTGTGGACTAAAAAATTCATTAATATAATCTCCGCTACGCACAGTAAAATCTGGCTCCTAATTCTAAGATCGCAAACTTTTCCATATAATATGAATAAAAACAAGTGAACAAAAAAGAAAAAATAAAAAAAATAAACAAATAGAGAGAAAAATAAAAATGAGAGTAAACAAAAATAAAAAATAAAAAAAAAAGAAGAGAGAGAGAAAGGTGGGATCATGTAATCATAGAAGGATGGGTGAAAAAAGAAAAAAGTAAGAGAGAGAGAGAAGCGAGAAGCGAGAAAATAGAAAATGTACATGTATGACATTTTTTGGAATATATATCTCAGCCGTTGTTTTATAATTTGAATAGATCTGAGCCGTCCAAATGTCTTAGTAGGACAAATGTGTGTAGGACAAATTCAAAAATCATTCTGCTTTATTATATAGATATATATATATTTCCAAAATAGTAACACTTCATTCATGCACATAAAATATAATCATAAAAAAAGTGCATAAAAAATCCTAAATTCTGTATGGTGTGGTCTTAAGCAATCACACCCAAATGTCACTAGGTTTCATATTAATTTTTGTTTACGTGTGCATTACTCTTCAAAATAATAATGCCTTGTGCACAAAAAAAAATCACACACACAAAAAAGAGAGTATACAAATGCATCCCAAATTCAATTTGGTTGTGATAAGTTGGGGGAGCCAGGCTTTTGCTTGAGAGGGACAAATATTAAGACAAATTATTGGATTAGGTCAATGCTTAGTTTATTTTTGTTTGGGGAATACGAATCAATTATCAATATTTCAAAACTTTCAATATCATAGATATCAAAATCATCTTAATATACAAATCTTTAAAACACTCAAGGAATAAGAAAAAAAAAAATTGTCAATAAAGTACACAATAAAAAGAAATATTTTCTTAAATTTATTTGTGAAGCAAATAAAAAGCCAATTTATGTCCCTGGTCTAATCAATGGTGTGTGTTGAGTTTGTTGGAAGAGAAGAATAAAAAAGTTTCAAAGATATATATACAATTTTAGAGGGAAATAATTGGAAAACATTTTTAAAATTTAAGACTGGAAAGTAAATTTTTAAGGAATAGAGGGAAATATAGGGAATATCGGTTCATCTTAGTATTGAAGATGCTTTCTTTCAAGAGTAAAAGTCAAGTGATTTTGTAGATTTAATAACATTGGCCATTTTTCTTATTAGTTTGTTTGTCTAAAAGAAAAGCCTTTGAATAATCTTCTTTGAATTCCAAACCAATTACCTTTAGCTATTGGTCTGAAAATGATATGCTCTGCATCTTCATCTTTTTGGGGAGGTACTTTAATATGGACACAAAATTAATCCTTTTGTTGACTCTTCAGGATTTTATTTTATTTGATTTTTATTTATTTATTCATTTATTTTGGTTCCAAAAACTCTTATGTCACTTGTTCTACATTTTCTTCAAAGACATCCTAGCCATGAGTTTCTCCATATGGGCAACCTTTTTTTTTTTTTTTTTGGTAGCACTACTTGATTAATAATGTGTATCAATTATCCATGGTCCATGTTTAAAACCTGAGGAAATTGAGTCAAGATAGATTATCATCATGTCTGTCAAGATCAACATGATAGCACATTTTTTGTTGATAGGATTTGATATTCTAAAGACAAGCACAAGGTCAATTAATGTCACATAAGGTACAAACTTGGCTTGAAGTTCACCAATATACCCAAGTGTGATGCTTACTTTACACTTTATTCAATTGTCAAGAATATCATGTAGGCCGTTCTTGATACATTAAAGAGAAGGAAAATATAAAATAATTACTTTTTCTTCAACAGTTTAGTTTTCAAGAATAGAAAAAATACTTTTCAAAATAAGGTAAAAATATTTCGTTTGATAAAATAGTATGGTGAGGTTTGATAGATAAATGCAGATCTTATAAAGAAAATTAAATTTATTTATTTATTTATTTATTTTTTGCATTTGCTTTCTTACATCCTTAAGAATGTTCTATTTTCTTTCAATTTGGAAAAAGATGAGAAAGGGGGGATGGTGTTTTTCCTTTTTTCCTTTTAGTTAAAGGTGTGTCAAGTGGAATATATATGCAAAATAAATCCTGGAACACATAAATGGACACATAAAATACACTCATTAATTTTAGTTTTTACTTTTTAAAAGGTGGGACCTACCAACAAAAAATTTGCAAAGAGTAATGGTATATGAATAAATTTTTCTTAAAAATTTAATTTCCAAATTGATATTGCAATGAATTGTTCCTATCGTTTAATTTTGATGGATTCTATTTCAAATATGGAGACTTACTCTTGCATTATCATGTCATTTTGTAGAACAAATTTGTAAAATAATAATAATAAATAAATAATTGTTTATAGTATTGTTCTTTTGTTAATCTTGTTCATCCATGTAATTTTTTTATCCAATTCTATGTGACTTACCATTATAAAAAAAATTGTAATAAAAAGCATGATGCATTTGCAATTCGGTTAAACTTTATTTTGCTGATGACTTTAATTTCTCTTAACTAATTAAGATAATTCTTGATAGCTAGCATAACTTTTTATTAGTTTTCATATTTTATTTTTTTTCTAGTTAGCGATCATCTAAGATCGTTGTTGCTTTCAGGAGACATGGATTCAACCAAAATGATGCAAAAGAGTCGGCTCAAAGGGTGATGGATAAAGTTGGGGGAGTTGCATCCAAAACCACAGAGACAATGAATTCTGCTGCGTCAGGTGATTATCTTTGTTTTTTCCTCTAGTGTTATAATATTGATTAGTATAATCTCCTTCTGTAACAATTACATTTTTCTTGCAGAATCATCAAAATATTCTTCTCAGAAGGCTGGTGACGCAGCGAACTTAGCTTCAGAGAAAATAGGTCAGGCAAAGAATTTTGCTTCTAAAAAGGCAAGTCAAGCTGTGAACATGGCTTCGGATATGGCCAGTGATGCTAGAGACACAATGGAAAAAACAATGTCACACGGGAAAGCTAAAGCGTTTGATGCCTACACCTTTGCTTCTAGAAAGGCAGATCAAGCCGTGAATATGGCTTCGGATAAGGTTAGTGATGCCAAAGAGACAATGGTTGGACGAATGTCACACAAGAAAGATATAGCCTCTGATGTCTACAACTTTGGGCCTGAGAAGGCGAATCAAGTCATGGATAAGGCCTCGGACATAGCTGGTGATGTCAAAGAGACAATGGCTGAAGGAATATCACGAGGAAAAGATAAAGCCTCTGATCCTTATATGTTCGCGTCTGGGAAGGCAGATCGAGCCAAGAATATGGCTTTAGACATGAGTGGTGATGCCAAAGAGATGATGAATGGAGCAATGTCATGCGGGAGAGATAAAGCATCTGACGCATACAACTATGCTTCTAATAAGGCTGGTCAACCCATAAAAATAGCTACAAATAAGGTCAATGATGCCGAAGATTCAATGGTGGGCGCAATGTCCCATGGGAGAGACAAGGTTTATGGAGCTTATGAGGATGCTAAAGCCACTGTTGGTGATACATACATGTCAGCTAAGGAATCCATGACTGATCAGGCGAAGGAGAAGTATGAGGCTGCCAAAGAGAGGGTTTCTCAAGCCACAGGTGATTTAGGAGATGAGATGAGAAAGACTCGTACAGACCTATGAGCGGTCAGTGTTTAAGTTATTTAACAACAATAATCATTGTTGACTAAACCTTGTGTAAGTAATTGTTGTTATTTTCTTTCACTTTATGTTCTATTGATATGTTTTTCTTAGTCTTTTTTAGGAACTTGGAACTATGTATTTCATAATTTTATATTGCAAGTGTGGCCATAAAGTCGGCTATTTTTATGCACTTTTTCTATCACTTCTTTGTGAGAGGAGGGTGAGAGGTTCACTTTCTTGTTCTTTTAGACTCTGCCAATGCCATCCAGAAGATAACGACACAAAATCACTGTAATATCGCCCGACACACTTTGAACATGCATAGGGTTGTAAATGAATTGAGTCTAGTTGAGTAGTAGGAGGTTTAAGCTTGGTTTTAAAAGTTGACTAGTTTAAAAAATGTGTTCAAATTTTTTTATTTTTCGAGTCAATTTCAAACAATGATTACAAGAGTAGCTTAGCTTTTTAATATAGTTTTATGGCATATTATTATTGAGCCAAGTTAGGGTAGAGTTTGTACAAATCACTTGGGTAGAATTCACCCTTAAAAATCAGCTTCCAATAAGAGAATGTCCATCCCTTGTAGTATTTTTTGTTCCCATACAATTTTGAAGTAAAATTAGATCCCCTAACCTAGTTACACCTGCTATTGGACAATTGAAATCGCATCAAGACCCACATCAAAAGCCTTGGGAGATTTATGGTTTGTTCTTGTTATATGAGCTGCTGACGGTGACTGCTCGAGTAATGGGCCATGGAGGAGAAATAGTGACTTCTTGGGAGATAAAAGATTTATGGCTTATGCTACTCCTGTTGGCTATTACTAATTTACTATTCCATAGTAGTATAACTCCTCACATTTGAATACCTTCTTCTTTTTTTTTTTTTTGATCGGCAAAGAAAATCTTTATTGATGAAACATACAAAGTATGGAAGATTATATCAATAAAGAGGAGCTTGGGGCTAGAAAAACACCAAGCGCCAGTTGGTGAGAAACCAACAAAAAGAGAGAAAGAGACACATTTGAATACCTTGCTCTCTCTTTTTTCCCTGAAATTTACTCACTCCTATATTGTTTGGTGTTAGAGCTCATATGTTATGGGAATGTGACAAATTAGAGTGGTTCTTTCTTCTTTTCTGGTTATTAACATTCTCCCTTCTTTTTTTTTTTTACCATTATCGTGTTGATTCTTCTGTAATATTCATTTTGTTTTGCTGAAAATCATGATCAAGGATTCAGGTTGTATTTTGAAGAATCATTTTGATTGTTGCCTGCCTTCAAATGCCTGCCTAGTCCTTACATTTTTTAATGATCAACAACTTGATAATTACATTGTAACACGTTTTCTGCATATAGCTGAACTGATATTCTCTCTCTCTCCATCAATAATTCAGGTGGAATACCTCCTTTACTTGCTCTTTTATCACATGAAATAAAGGGTTTTTTTTCTCTTGTTGATGTGGCCGTTCTTTAATCCTTTACTGCTTTTGTTGTCTGCCATGAAAAATAGAAAAAGCAGTAGAGACAGCTATACTTTCAGAGCCACTATCTGCCCAAGACTGTCATCTTCTATTGACCCTCTTAGGGTAAGATCATATATTGATTAATTGCTAGAGGATATAGACAAGTTTTAGCCATTAGCATTTAAACTAATCACGATGAACCGGCTACCATCCTGTATATTAAATTATCCAACTTAAAATTAACATGACAATGATTGGAGGGGTCTCTCAAATATATTGACCAAACTTGATGACTTATGAAGGCGATGCGGGACCAGTCTAACACTTCCCGTACATACACATACAGTCTAAATAGCTTGTTGAAATGATAGAGAGATGAGATGAGAGGGGAGAGACTAGACTAGGTAGAGACTTGACCACTAGAGATCATTCAGACTGATATCATATTAAAACTTTCAACTTAAAACCAATTGAAAATGAGTATAGAGGCATCTCAAGTATATGTACTAAGCTTCGTTGGCTTATGAATGAGGAACAAATCTAACACTGCAGTTCGTGAAAATTGACTATCATGATTGAAAAATTACTCACTGCATAATCTCAATATTAGATCAAATCACGGGATAGTTGTTATATATCACTTAAATATTTCACCTGTGTTAGCGAATTGATATCGGCCGCCATATAATGGTATCAGAGAAATATCAAATAGTGATGCGGTCATTAGTTTTTTAAAATTATCGGTTGCAAAGTTGAATTGGATATATCGATTGTGAATCAAATCATGAATCAATTAATACATACTGGAACTAGTTAGCATGCAAGGAATTTTTATTTCCACTGCTATAGTAGGGTAAATAGGTATTAGAAATTAAAAAATTGATACATATTAGTTAATATCTTGATTGATATTAAAAATTACAATTTTATTATAGTTGGGGGGTAAGAGACATAAGGGCTTCCAATGAGAGGTTGAAAGTTCAACTCTCTTCACATACTAATTTAAAAATTAATCACTAATTTCGTTAATATAATTAAATATATATATATATATATATAGTCAGCCTATACAGAGGTATAAAACATAGAAATCTAGGCCAAAAAGCAGAAAATGAAGGAACCTAACTGAAAATTTGTCCACATTTATTTGGTTGTGTTTCATTTTTTATTTTTGAGTTTTGTGTTTCTAAAAACAAAAAATAAAAACATCTATCATTCTCATTTTTTTTACAGATATAGAAAATTCGAAAATAATTTTTTGATATTTTTTAAAAAGAGGGTTATTATCAGAAAACTTTCTGAAAATATGTTTCAGCAACAATTTACCATCGTTTTCTGTATTAATAAAAAATAAAAACAGAACAAGAAAAAATAGCACTCTAAAGAACAAGAAGGTATAGATTGGGTTAATGGATGCTAGAGGTGCATTCAATTTTTATTTCAAGTATTTTGTTAGAAATTTTGAGTCTTTAGTGAGAGCTAACATGAGATCACAATAGTTTGAAACGAACTTGGAATTGTTAATTCACAAGGAGATTGGAAAGAGTTGAAGCTTGAAAGAGTCTAGTTTTTTTTTTTTTTTTGATCAGTGAAAAATAAAACTTTATTGATGATCATCGAAAGAACACATGTTTTGATGCTATGAAATGGGTGATTGGGAAAAATCAGAAATAAATTATCATCTTTATATGATTAGGGACTAATAATCTATAAGGGAGTTTTGCAGATTTTCTTACAGTTGTTTCTTTTTCATGGATTGTTTGTTGTTGTGGATCCACACCTTGAACGCTTGTTTCTTCACACCCACTTCACCACAGAACTTCTCTACTTCTTCCTCATCTTGCTTCTGGATCTTCCATCCCAATCTTTCCGCAATCTCTTCCATCCCATCTTTCTGTTCTTGAGTGAATTTCGTCCGAAACCTCTTCTTCCGCGAAAATGGCGGTTGTGTCATCAGTTGTTGTGTTCCAACATTATAGGAATGAAACATGTTAAGGTCTTCGCTTGATGACTCTGCCGGAGCTCCGCTGGCCCCACCAAAGGCCATCATGAAGGCACTAGTGGACAAACCTTGAGAGTATCTATGATTATTATGGTGGGGCGGCGGTGGAGGAAGTGGAGGAGGAACTTGAGTGAGATGGGTTGTGGTGGTGGTTCTAAGGATAGTACTGTTTCTGTTGGGATTATAAGGGTAGAAAGAATTAGCAGCTGATTTAATTTGAGACACGCCTTCGTACTCTCTCCGGTGAAAATTTCGATGGCAATCACAAGCTGCACATTTCAATGCTTCTGGGCTACCCTCTTCTCCGGCAGGCATGAATTCTCCGCAACCGTCGATGACGTGACCTCCGGTGCTCACCGCGTGGTTCTTGAGGCACTCACTGTATCGAACTGCTGCTGGTGGTGGTGGTGGTGGTGGTGGCAGCAGTGGCGGTGTTTTTGAGTTTGATGGACTAGAAATGGTTGCAATTGGCAGTGGAGATGGGTATGGATCTGGGTTTGAATCTTTTCCTGGTATATGTGTCTGTGGATGAAGATGATGATGGCGATCTAGGGCTTCATTTCTTCTTCTATCCATTTAATTTGATTTCTTGAATGATAACTTTTGATCTTTAGCTTGGCTTTCCACTATTGATCTCTTCTTTGATGATGATCAAGATCATAATCAAAGTCATCACTCATCTAATGTAAGAAGGAACAAACAATCAATGAAATATAATCAACCAAGTAATCTAGGATTTTGGTGCTCTCTTTTCTTTTGATTTGGACGTTGTAAGTGCTAACCTAAACCCACCAAACAATTTCAATGCTAATTTTCAACCCTATTCCCAATACGTAAGCAAGTAATTGAGTAGTAGATTAATTTAGAAAATTGTCCAATGAGTTCAAACCTAAAGAGTCAAAAATATAACATTAAATAAACAAAAAAAAAACCATATATCTTGGAATTCAAACAAAGATCTAGTAAATTATTCAATTCTATTGTATGAGACAAAATATTTAGTAAAATATTCCAAAAAAATTAAAAAATAAAAAATTTTGAAATATATAAAGTAGATTCATTTTATGTATTTTACATCACATCAAATTTAATTCTACACAATACATTTAAATTTTGAGTATTTTAAATTTTATTTTTTGTTTTTATTTTTTTAGTACATAACATATCTTCCTCCCTTCAATAGTTAATTAAAACTTTGCTACAAATGAAATTGTCTATGTGTATATGTTGTTCCAAAAAAAAAAATTTAAAAAGTCAGTATGCTCATATATATATATATATATATAAGAAAATTAGCAGGAAATTAAAAAAGAATTAGGAAAAAGAAAAGTGGGAGGTGAAGCAACTCTGGGTTGTGTTTCCTACCAGCCATCCAAACCCATAAAATCCATCAATCAGAAAGAGGAAACACAGAGATTTGGTTTTGTGATGAGAAGTATATGAATACCAAAATTTTCAATTATCTAACTTATGGATATAAAATAAAATTTTCACATTTATAAATATGAACATGTTATAATATAGATGTGAATATTATTTTTTATATTATCGATTTTAATAATTTAAAAATTCGATATTTGTAGCACTGCTGCATATTGACTTACACTGCAGAACAACAACCGACAAGGTCAAGTTTCGCTCCTCCCACCAACCACGGCCAGCACAATGATTCAGGACTGTCTCATTTTATGCCTACCTCTATCTATGTATGTATGCTCCTCAAACCCTAACGAAACCTCACAAACACACACTCCAAATGAAGGAGAGAGATGCTGGTGATAGTGATGGTGATGGTGATGTTGTCTGAAATCTTGCTGCAACCTTAAAATCCATTGTTAGAGAACTATTAAGAATTGTAAAACCAAACATAAAACTCAGTTAGAAAGGTGCTAACAAGGTTTAGGGAAGAAGACAGAGAAAGAGAGAGAGAGAGAGAGAAGACTTACTTTTTTGATGTGCTTTAGTGGGACTGTGGTAGTGGAAGAATTAAAGTGAAAATGATGGTCCACAGCACTTGGTCCCTGTTGGTTTGAGTGTCAGAGTCTATCTCTCTCTCTCTCCGCTTGAGGCCAAGGCTTGTGGTGCGCCTGCTGCAATTGCCTGCAACTCCACTCTTTCTTTCGAAAAAAAATTGGGAATTCTAAATTTAAAAATTTTAATAATTTTAATTGGTGTATAAATTTTATGTGATGTGATATTTTAATTTTAATTTTTTTTTTATTTTTTTTTTCATATCATTTATATTCTTTTATACTGTGTTTGGTTGGAAGATTTGGAGAAGGATTTGGAAAGGGAAAGGAAAAGGAAAAATGTGTGTGAAACTATGTGAAATTTAGGCATATTTTATTCTCATTTCACCTATCTTTTTTATTTTTCTTTTCAAATCCCTTCTAAAATCCCCTAACCAAACACAGCATTAGGATTCTCAAATTAGAGAATATATCATTTCTACTTTCTTTCTTTACCCAACGAGATGGCTTTGGCACCCCTCAATTGGGACCTATTATTGCTGTTGGCTACTATTCTTGGCAAAATTCACGCCCCTCTCTCCCTCTCTCTCTTAATTGTTTGAGGACTCTTTATGTTTTTTTTTTCAAATTTATTTATGTCATTTGTTATAGTTAATTTCTTGATAATTATCTCAACAAAAAAAAAAGAAGCATTTGTCTAATTAATTTTTGAAGTAATTTCACATCAGTGTATATTTGAAAAAGTATTTTTAAATTAGTGATAAATTTTATAAATATTAAAAAATAAAATTATTAACTTTATTATGTATTTGTAATTAATTTTTGAGGGTACCTCTGAGAAGTAATTTCCAATTAATTTTTCTTCTGTTTTTTTGGGAGTGACAATTGAACTGTTTGAACGGAATTTGATAATTCACTTTTTTAGTGATTTTAAATTTTTTTAATAAAAAAGTTGTTAGACTTTTTATTAGGGGTGGTCGATGTTTGGTTGCCACCAGAAAACTTTTAATTTGTCAACCGTCCATTGGATGTGTGGATTAGAAAAAATTAATCTACATTTGTCCGCCGAATTGACGAATATGAATCATGCGGATTAGCGGATGAATGCAAATCGGTTTAATGGTTTTAACTTTTATAAATTTTGAACATAATACAATAATTTGTTAACATTTTTTTTAATAACAATCCAACTCAACATAATTAAAGATTATTAAGCAAATTGTCAAATACCAATAATAAATACATATAAGAAAACCATACGTTATCAAAACTATTTCATTACTTTTTTTTATTACAAAACTATTTAATTTGATTTTTTTTAAAAAATGATAAAATTAAGTCTTATATTTTTCACACAAAAATACCAAATATCAATCATTACCATTTGATAAAGGGATTTCCAAATTGAAAATAAATTGACAACACAACAGAATATCTAAACTCTTTTTCAATTGAAAATATAAACAGAATATCTAAATAAATTGAAAATACAAAGTCTTACAAATTACTAGGAGTGCTTGTGGTTTAGCGGTTTAGTTGCGGTCAAAAGAGCCTCAAATCTGCTATCTATCCAAAACTAGGCGGATTAGAAAAAATCAGTTCGCAACAATCCGCTCATCATCACGCATCCGTTTAAAATGCTACAGATTGATTCGATTCGGTCGGTTAACAGATCGAAATATCCACTGCTCATCCTTACTTTTTATATTGATTTTTATTTTTTGTTTGATAACTATTTTAGTCGGTTGTTAAATATCCAGTCATAGCAAACTACCGCCAATTCAAGCAGCTCGAGAGATCAAAGATATTGCTCACATTCAAATTCCACTCGGTTTGACAATTGTTTTTGTAATTTTTTTTTTTTCAAAAAAAATCAATTTTAGATCTTATCAAACTAGACAGACTTAAAAAGTAAAAGTAAATTTAATTTTTTTTGTTTAAAAAAAAATCTATAAAGATTAAAAAAACAAAACAATTGATCTTTTTTCTTATTACATTTTTGGATTTAAAAAAAGAAGAAGAAGGTTTTTAGATCATTTTAAATTTGGTAGATCTGAAAAGCAAAATTTTTTGATACAAACTTTAAAATTTTCACTACAAACAAAAACATAATTTTAAAAAAATGCAACTTTGTTAACAGTTACCAAATAAAGCCTCAATTGAACATTAGGCAGAGGTTATTACCCATTTCAAAAATATTTTTTGTTTTTGTTTAAATAACTTATAACTACAAAAATTATTTATATATATTCGTATTTCTTATTAAAAAAAACATTTACATAGTCAATATGCAAGTCTAATATGTATTTAAACATGTTTTAAAGTGTGTTTAGAATTGATTTTTTAAATAATTTTTTGACTTTTTAACATTTTTTGAAATTAAAATAGCTAAGATCACCTTGTTTGGTTTTCAAACTCAAATACAAGTTTTGAGTTCTTATTTTTCTTTAGTAATTTTTTTCATATTTTAGTCAAATTATTTTAAATGTACAGTCTAAATGCATCTAAAAATTTGTAAAAATTGGGAAGAAAAAAAAAGTTTACTAGAGATGAAAAAATAAAACAAAAAAATGCACGTTTTCTTAATGTTTTTTTTTTTTTAGGTTTTTTTTTTTTTTTTTTTTTTGTCTTTAGTAAGCTTTTTAATATCTTACTTTTTAGGTGCATTTAAAAAGTACAAGAAATTTTGACTAAAATATCAAAAATCACTAACAAGAAAAGCACAAAATTAAAAAAAAAAATTCAAAAACTAAACCAAACAAACTATATTTTGAAATTTTTTAAAAATATATTTTTTGTGAGTAAAATAATTAAGTTGCTTTATACTCTTTTTTTTAGCTAATGACAAACAAATTTTGTGACTTTTTTTTGACTCAGCCAACAAAACAACTTGTAAGTGGTGAGCAAGAGTATGGGATAAAACTTATAATTATGTGAGTTTTATATAATTATATTAAAATTGTAAAATTAATTATAATTTTTTCAAATTTTGGAAGAAGTCCGCATAATTTACCAAATATATTCAATGGCGTAGCTACATTATAGCTAATAAGGGTTAATTCAATATTTTAACAAATAAATTGTAACCTCATAGAATAAATTCAAAAAATTATATGATATTTTAAAATTTCATCAAAATGACTCCACTAAATTATATAATTGAAGAGAATGTCAAGTTTTAACAAAAAAAATGTTGAATTTTTTTCCCCCCCTCCTAAAATATGATTCTTATTAAAAATTTACTTCAAAATCAAAAATAAAATGGAAAGTTTTTAGCTTCTTTTTTTTTTTTTTTTAATTTGAGTAAGTTAATACTAGTGTAATGTGTTGGAATAATCTTCTGCATATAATAAATAAATTGAAACCAAATCAAACAAATAAAATAAATAACTTGCAGGATTTAAGTTTGGAAAGGCTAAATAAGTGCACTTTTTGATTTTTTTTTGTATTATGTGTAGAAAAAGTAGAGAGGAGATGTTGATTGATGTGACCCAAAAAAGATAAAAAGATGAAATAAGTGCATTTTTTTAGGTTAGCCAAACTTGACCTTATTTTACCGAACCGAATGAATATTTAAAGATTAAATCGAGTGTGTGACACTTTATCCTTAAGACAGATTTGCCCCTCTACAGTGCTTACGGAAAAAAAAAAAAGAAAAAAAATCCGTCTATCTCTCAGGATACAATGATCTTCACAAATTGTAGTAGTACTTCAAACAATTTGTACAGCGAACAAAACCTGTGTTCTATACTCTCTTAATTTTTTTCCTAAAAATAATATGAAGAATAATGCAAAGAGAGAGCAAAACCGGGAATGGGACATATTTTTTTGGAGTTTTTCAGGATGTTTTTAGATGTTTTTGATCAACCAAAATCTGCTGGAACGGGCCTTGAATATATAGACCCGAACAGATCTGGTTTTTGAATGGAAAATTCGCAAAATAGTTTGAACAGATGCAAAACTCAAACTGTCAAACAATTTGAATCTGTATGACCATAACTGAATCTGTCCGGTGTTGGAACAGTTTAATTCGAACTGGAAGAGGCACATTTTTTGGAAAACAAAATTTGAATTCAAATTTGAATTAAATTCAATTTGAAATTCAAATAAATTTTGTCCAAAAAATTAATGTTAGAACCGATCCGACCCACAACCCAAGCCCGGCACAGCCGGACGGACTGTAGTGCGTGTGTGTGGTGGTTTGAGCCAATGTTTAATTTGTCCATAACTCCTCCCTTTTACAAACTTGGGGTGCCCCTTGGGGACTAACCCAAGTGTTGTCACCTAGAGCTTATATACATACACAAGCTCTATTAAAGTTTCAATGTGGGACAAACCTTACAAGAAAACCCATATTTAATTCTTTAATTGTTTATTCCACAAATCTGAAAACGACGTCAAGTTCCTATTCACGCATAAAAGGTTTTGACAAACCGTCTTCTCCGTGTTACTTGCCATGCGGCAAGGAACATGTCACCTTTTCGAACTTACCCTAAAAGACGCGTGGGACCACTCAAATTTGGGCTCAAAGTTAGCCCAAAATAAGCCTATAAAAATCAATTTTCCAACAATCCCCTACATGAATAGAATTTAACGGAGACAAAATGCAACAATATAATCTAATTATAAAGAGTACAGAAATTGGAAATATTCTGCAAATGATAAGTAACTTTTGGCTTTGAACCTTCTCTTGTGAGATACTATCGGATTTACTAGCTAACTAGTGAACATGATGTCTTGAACTGTTTAGCCATTTGTGTAAACCAAGACAATAGAACTTACGCAGTATATTACCAGACATAGTTTAGTTCTCACTATTGTGTTCATTTTGGCCTTGAATAATCTGGTCTTTTATGAGTGCTCTAGAGAATTGTAGCCCTTCACAAATCTCATAAAACTGGCCTAGTTTACACTCACATAAGTGATTTTTATGAAGAGTATCCTACCATAAGCCACTAGGTTTACCTA